ATAATATGCTCTGAGAGCAGGAAGATTATTATTACTTTTACATACAGGACATCCCGTAGTCTACGAGTCATAGCCTACATCGATTTCCGTACTGATGATACATCGCCAGCATTGCACAAATGCCATAGTTATGATACTCGCAACACGACCATCGATGTGAAACTGTAAATGTTAGGATCATAGTCTGGTTAGAGTCATCACAAAGCATAATTCATAATGACTGCATATAATGCGCTAATATAATGAACAATTTTCATTGAACATAATATGCATGCTAAAGGCCGTTCTTTCAAGGAAAGAATCAGGATTTACTGTTCCCTTTTGCAGAAGTGAAGGTTGAAGAAAAATGGCCGCAAGTAGGGAAAGCCTTGCAGATACGACAATGTTTCCACATTTTATACATGTGGTTGACGGGGAGTTAGAATATCGATCTGTCACCCTTCGTAGCTCGCGTCTCTCGCTGGAAAAGTTAAAAACCATTGTGTTATGAGGACCCCGAAGCTAGTAGAGTTTCAGGGCCCAGCTACCCTCCGAGATGCCACAATACACGTCGTACGTAGACGTTTCGAACGACAGCGTCTTCTGAAGTTTCACTAAATCTGCATAGCGTGACTACGGCTCATACCTACATTCATAAACACGCGCTGGTTGATCCTTCCAGAAGCAAATGTGATTTGTCGGGTCCCGGGGAAAGAAGTGATAAAAGCTTATCCATAGCATAGGGAGAATGATGATAACCAACCATATATCGACTGTGTAGTGATACCTCTGAGCAAGGAGTGCAAAAGCCTCCCCAATAACGAGCATCCAGCTTGGTAACTGATGACAGAATCGCGATGGGGACTGGTTATGATCCTTAAGCCGAAGAGGATCTCTAGAATAGGCTATGACCATCGACATATGGGTGTACTTACTGCAATGAGCCAACGGCGAGTATAGTGTGTACTCATAATTGCCATCGTCAGGACGAACCTAATGAGACTGCTCAAAGTCGGTGCTGTTGATGTAAGGAGCCTACGAGAGATGACCGCTGAATATATTGTCCCCACAGGCACGAAGGGTCGTAGAAAAGTTGAGGACCTCCTTCGCACTCGTCGGGGGATCGAAACCTTCAAGACCGGGAAGGGGGAACCTGCGATTGATTCAACGGTCTTTCGCGAGTCCTCGTCTAGTGTTCGGACAACTCGGGTATTCTCTGTAGGAGGGACCGGAAACTCTAAGGGTTTGAGCTCAGTGCGGCATTTGCTTAGAGTCTGAGCAAATGCCGCCTGAAGTCAGAGATCCGAGGCTTACCGCTCACACCGGACCCCTGCTGAAGGGACTAGAGTGACCAAAAAGGATACTGATCGGAATATGAAAGCTGCACTGAGTACGAATGATGTTCTCCAGAGCGCTCCGACGATCGTGAATCCGCGACGACAATCGATGATGGATATGATCAGAACCCAACCGATCGCCCAGATCAATGCTGATAGCAACTGGAAAAAGGCAAGGACTTGACGCACAGTTCTGAGGTTTCTCCGTATTTACCAGGAATCCTGCGACGTCGACTGAATAATATGGGAGTTCAGGAATCGCTTTGTGGCCGAAGTCTATCAAGGCATTTGAGGGAATTTCGAACCTGACTTTCTATGGCTGAGCATGCTCTGGTCACCAGAGTCTGGTGTGACTTACTTGTATTCTAGGAAGTACACGAGACCCACCGCCCAGCCCACCGGAGCGCAATTGAATATAAAGAGGAGGAACCATGGCCAAGTGATCTTCAGAACTTGCCAATTAGCCAAAACCTGAACATACGGAGTCTCCTAGACGAGGAATCGACAGAGGCTCGACAGACAGGACAGCTCAACCCAGGGCTGTCCCGGCAGAGTAGTTCACCTGTGCACGAATCCTTTTCGAGTAGCTGCTGGGCTCTGGTTCACACCGTAGGTTGTTCTCGATATCGCAGTCTGTGCGTGACATGATTTTGAAAATCAAAATTCTCAAGACCTGCGCTTATCATACTAGAGTTGTCCCATCCTGACCTCCCGAGCCGATAGTTTCAGCTGTCAATCAGCAAAATATGTTCCTCTTCGATGAACTTGAGCACCAGTGGCACTACGCCTTTACGAGTCCAATCACTGTCGTTGCAAACGATGGAGTGTCAACTGTTCAACGCGTGAAACGCGTGCGTGAAATGCAGCGTCACCTCGTCAGCACTCTGCGCTGAAATGCGCCATAGTGTGGACGGATATACTCGAAGTCGTGATCGGGTCGTCGATTGATACTATAGGTAGTCGATGCTAGTGACTCTGGCAACACAATCCAAAGGATAGATACGGGTATAAGATAATACTTAGCTGCGGTCGACAAGGTTGGCAGGAGTGCCAACAGTAATCCTCAAAAGAATCTCTAAAGACTCTGAATGCAATCGATCGTTTGACGCATGCACACGTTAGCTACGGATGAGGCTCTCGCGCTCGCCTTACACTGTCTATTCCGCACAGGCAGGGCCGCACAGGCGAACGACAACAAAAAGGTAGCTGACAATGGCCGAACGGAGTCGATTTACATATAGCGAACAATCGATACAGTGCAGCTAACAGACTGGCCAACAGGAGTGGGCAGATCCTCCTACCACAATAGGATGTTATGACACGTGACGTGTCACACGTCAGTGACGTGTGACACGTCACTGACGTGACGTGACGTCACGTTGTTACGTGAATTTCGCGACGCGTTAATTTAACGTTCAAAACACAACGTAACGCAATACCCACTCAGTATTGCTTGAAACAACTGCATAGAGTCTGTGCCATAGACAGAACAACCAGAGAAGATTGCACGAAAACTTACTTCCCTATGTGGCAAGTAAAGAGTTCCCGAAGCTTTCTATTCTTAACTGCCGGTTTGGTACCAGCTCGGGTGCATCATTCATCATACGCAGCGTAGGAAACGCTCAGCGGCTGAGCCTCAACCTGTGTTCTCAGGGTTGAAGCTACGTGTTCTACCAGCACACCAGATCGAACTGACCAAGCCGATGATGGATACCCCGATTTCCCAAGCCAGCATAACGAGAGATGGTGCGATGGTTTCCAACGCAACATAATCGGATGCTGGACCTCTCCCAACCTCTCTCTCCCTACCTTAGGTCCCTTATATCCTCCTTGCTGTATAGACTAAGGCGGTGCACTCTGCTCAGCATGTGATTCTGGCTCTTCATTGGAGAGCGAGAAAGGTACGTGAGAGAGGGCACGTATAGACTTGAGAAGCAATCTATGTTCACGAGAGTGATGTTTGAAGAGTCTTCAAACACGATGTTTGAAGTCTATACGTGCCATCTCTCACGTACCTTTCTCGCGAGCAAGTCGGCTTCTTCCACCGACCCATCTCAGCTATTCGATTCTCTGAGAATCATTCTCATCAACATACTGATCCATAAGAAGCTGAGCTCCGCTCCTTCTTAGGTTATGGGTCGATATTCTGGACCCGATGGGTACTTCGCGAATCAGCTTCGACGTTTTTTCCACAAATTGCTATCGTAAGTGAAGGGGATACAAGGTCTTCGACAGGGCGTCCCTCAATCCGTGCCTCTAGTCGGTGAACAGGGCTAACCATATTCCTTCTCCCGTCGATGCAGCAGCATACAATTGCTATTGT